TATTAAATTCAAAATTATATTATTGTTAACAACTAGGTGTTAAATATTATTATTTACGTTAAATATTTTAAATTATATTCATTAAAATATAGTTAAGACACTAACCAGTCATATCATTGCTATTTATCTTATTTAATTTGTTAATTTTTATATAAAAATATATATTATATAATTACTATTTAGTACCATTAGCTAAAATAGTTAAGCCTTAAGCAAATCTATTCCTAAAAATAGCAAAATGTAATATTTTTAAGAATATTCACACTATATTGATCAACCGTTGCACTTAAAATATTTATTTTGAGTAAGTACTCATAGTTACCTACACTTAAAATTAATCTTAATATACATATCAATTAATTTTTATGTTACGATTGAGACTAATGGTTTTAACCAAACCTACAAAAATAAAAATATCAATTCAATTTAAGCATGATTATCATTATAATATCATTCTTATTTTATACAGTTATTTCATAATTATGTTAACTTAATACATATCAATTGTTTGAAATTTACATATCATGAACTACATTTTATCACAATGAGTTAAATCCTTAAATTAATTTAGGGATAATCCTTAATTAATTTAAGTTGGCATATTTATAAATTGTTTAAAATTTGCATTTCATCTACTATTAATTATATCAGAATAAATTCATTCCTAAATGTAACTTAAAATAATGTTAACTCGATACATATCAATTTTTTGAAATTTACATATCATTAGAATATTATATCATAATTTATACTATTTTAAATAGTTATTGTAAAACGTTATTATTGTTATTATGTAGATCAGTATATTTATTATTCACTATTATGTTAAAATGTTATTAAATTTTTATCAAATTACAGTTTTAAGAATGTTTTATTATAATATAATAATAAGTTTAATATTATTTTGTACATTTACGCTTAAAAAGGTAAATTGTACTAAACAATAAATTATTTATAGAACATTTTTTCACTCTCTTCGTTGTTATATTACCTAGGTATATATTGTTTTTTTTTTTTTTAATATTTACAATATATCTACGTTAGGCACTCTTTACTAGTTAAGTAGGTAGCTATAAATCTGTAGTATAATAATATTATTATATTAAAATAGTGTTATACAGTTTATATATTATTGTGTATCAGTCAGTGGCGTATTTACGGAAGGATAAGGAGATACATTTCCCCCTTAACTCTCTTTTTTAGTTTATATTTATTTAAATAAAGTTATATTTTTTTCAATATCACTTAATTAGTAGGTATTAAAATACTGGAACATTGAGCACCGACAATTTTAGTATTTTAGTCATATCGCAACCCTTAAAGAAGTCCTAAATACGCCACTAGTATCTGCAGTCTGCACTCTATAGTTAAATATTAATTTGTTGAATGTATTCAAATTTTTAAACTACCATTTTAAACTTTACTTATGTAATATTTCTTATAGATATCAATGTTATCATTCGAATATTTCTTTGTTATTTAAACTCTTTGTACACAAAAAAATACGATGTTTATTGTGTATGTTCCTTTCAACAGGACCGGACTGGATTTAAATGACATAATTATACTAGTGCTCCGAGCAGATCGGTCGACAGTTGATATATTAACTATCGGTTTATAATATACATATCAAGAATTATAAGGTTTTCACTCGTTTAACGATTATACTACAAAAATCCCCCAAAATGTCATATCTATGAATAAGTAGCGATTTAAAAGCATAGTGTCTGCCTATATAGTTCTATACATAATAAAATAGACTTAATAAAAAGATGTTTTTTCAACATAGTCATGTATATAGTATATACCTCATACCTATAATCGATAATAATATTATTCAACATAACATATAGTGTACGCGAACATTATATAGGAAGGGTATGTAGACAAATTGGACTCTCTTCGTAATAAAAAAATCACAGTTTTTTGTTATTCATTAAAGTACACAATTTGTTTATAACTTAAAAAAAAAATATTTTTCAGCTAAAGATTTGAAGTTTTTCCGATATTGAGTTTGTTTAATATCTTTCTCCTAGTCCATTTTTTTATAACCATCTATTTATAACTTAAAAATTTCCATTCTCTACGACGTATACACTTAGTACTTAGTACTACATTTATTTAACCAGTAAGTATAAATAATAAGTGTAGTTACCCTATACAGATAGAAAAAAAACTAAAATTAATATAAAACAATAAAATGTAAAACAAATCCGTAGAAAATTTGAATTTATTAACATAAATTCTTTTAAATATTCTTCAAAAAAATAAATTTGAGCTATAGGTATCTAAATCAATGGCATACCCCCACTTTTAAACACAAACTATGTTCACCAGATATTGTTGTTATTCTGTTGTAACTTAAACGCAATCTCTTCAGGCTATTTAATAAATTATACACAATACTATTAATACTTAATTAACACAATATACACAATTAGATATGGCAATATTGAATATACTTGGATGTTTTGATACATTTTTCAATTATATAATACCTCGAACTATATACCTAATTGATGTCCAGTCCGATCCCGTGTATGCTTAGATAAAAATGTATTAATACGCTTTAGAATAATATTGTAACCATACAAAAATAAATTATTATAACTAATTAGATAACAATAAAATAATCAGTCATAAATATTTGGAGTTTTTTTTTATTACTTTACAGGTATTCTACATATCTGAATCAAAACAAACACATACTCGTAAGTCGTAGTATTGTAGTAGTACTATAAATTAGGCAAATTAAGCTTATCCAAATATTCTATTTTTATTCTGGAAGCATCCCTAGTAGTAATTTTTATTGAAATCGGATAAACTGTACACAACTTATTGTTATAATAATACTATACATAACAACTATGGAATATAATTTAATTTTAATTAAAAAAAATACAAATTCATGAATCTTTAATTAACTAAAATCATCTTGATATAAATCAATGAGTAATTAAACATTGTTCAAAACCGCATTTAACGGTTAATTATTGCAATTATTTGTTTGCGAAATAATGACCGGAATATGGTAGGAGCTGATTTTATTCCTATCAAATAGGCTGAGTTCAATAATTTCAAGGGACACTATTTTTTTTTTCATCGTTGAGGTACATCTTTTTTATATTTTCCTGATTTGAGTCCAGAATTTGTACAAAACATAAATATTGAAACAATATTACATGCTTGAAAAATAATCATTGTCTTATTGGTGATAAATACTTACAATGCACATAAGCACCCTAAAATTTAGTATTGTTACTGGTGACCATTGATTACAAGGAAAAATAAAACTTGAGTCAAAAATTTAAAAGTAAATAAATACATAAACATATATAATGTAATGCAATCTAGACTTAAACATATAGGTGAAGACTTAATATAATTAAAGGAAAGTTGTTACTATTTAATTTTTATTGGATTAAGTGAGCCGTAGACATTAAAAGAACAAACAAGCTTAATAGTTTATGTTTAATTTAGTGAATATTAAAACACACACTAACTATTTTAATTAAATTATACAGTTAAAATTGTTACAAAATTGGATATTTAACCTAAAAATAATAATTTTAGTTATTTGGTTGTAATTTCAAAATATATTATTAGTATGGATTTAAAATTATTCACAGCTATAATTTAACATATTATTATTATGTATCCATACGTAGTATTCTATATTTACTATACACTGTGAAATTTTCAAAATATTTAGATTAATCTAAAGCTATTACTAAACTATCCAGATTAGTAAAATATAAAAATAATATGTTTATACTCAGAATAGTGGAAAGATTTCAATAACTTTTAAGACATAATTCAGAATCTCCATTACAGTTCACTCGTGATCTCAAATTTGGTCTATCTTATCTAAAATCAATAAAACTAAAATTACATAGAAAAATATTGATGAATAATACTTAAACGCTGTACGGTATATGAAAAAAAAAATAATGATTCTAAGAAATCTTCAATTCCTGCATAAGTATTTTAAGAATGCAAAACAATTTAATAATTGATAAAAAAATTTCAACATACCGCTTTGATCCTTTTATCGAATATAAAACTTTTGAAAACAAGTATGACCTCATCATTAATTTTACTTTAGATCAATTTTTTTGTTATTGTTTTATTTATTTATTTTAAATTTACACAACTTGTGTCTCAAATTTCTGATATTTTTAATTCTTAAAACCAAATTAGGGGGAAAAAATGAAGTTAATTTTAATAAATAAACTTTATTGGAAGTTCATTATGAAATAAAATTGAAAGAAAACACTAATTAGGTGATATAATTCTAACATAGCTTGTCATTTAAATTAAATGTAAATGCTGAACAAAGAATTAAAATAACGTTTAAATGTATTATAAAATGTAAATGGTGGCTTGGTATGGCGCGTTGGCTGCTGCATTCCGCGACTGGAAGTAAGTAACGGCCACAGCTACTAGTTCCCGGATGGGTGACCACCCGAGCTCATAGTGGTTAAAAATCTTGCCACACATACACGTGTTTGCTATCAACCGTAACAACCATAAAAATCGTAAAAACCAACCTACTTGTACCAACCTTACCTCTACCCACAGTTCATAACCCCTACAACAGCTAATAGCCCTTGTCGCCGGGCTTAAGTTCAATAAAAAAAAAAAAAAAAAAAATGTACCTAAATGTAAAATATTTAAAATATTTTTCACGTTAATTCTTATAGTTAAACGAAACTTGTTTATCTAAGCCCTCATTAGTCGTTTGTATTGCTAAAGCACAAAAATACAATACAAAATAAAATAAAATAATTTATTACTTGATATAAAAATTAAATAATAAATATATTAAGTACAAAATTAAAATAAATTATTAAATAATAGGTATTAAAAATACTTTTACATTGATGTTGTTACAATATTTTTTGAATTTAGTTATACTTGCTTATTGTCAAATAAATAACTAATCTAAATTACAGTTTTTATCTAATATTAATAGTTTTATTTTTTTTTTTCGAATGATAAACACTCATTAGCTTGAAATTGGTGAACAAAAGTGTAATTCAATTTAATTCCATAATATATTTAAAACTGTAAACAACAAATCAACTAAAAATATATATACCTTATTCCATTAGTAACATATTTAGTTAGTCAAAAATGATCTATACGACTATATGAAATATAGAAGGTTACATTGAAAAGCAAACATCTAGCGATTTATTACAAGTATAAATATTTTAAATTGAATCAATAAAACGTAGACATATTTATATGGATAAGTTTGAACCTCTTGGGACAATATTATTATATTTTGCTACTACCTGAATCAATTTCTATTATTCAGAGACGTTAAGATTTGTGATTATAATACAATATATGTTATAATATAGCGCTTTCAGGAGTCAGGACACGTCTCTTGATGGAAAATTTCAATCGCACTGCTGCTGTTGTTATTAAATGTTAGTTTGACGTCTCGACGGTGCAAAGCTGCTGACTTGCTGTGTTTGTGGTTGTACCGCCGGTTGTACCGCCGGTTGCGGTTGGTATCTGATACTATTCAGCATTGCGGCATTCACATACCAAAACGGTTGCTTGTCTCTAGGATACTCATTTGTTATTCTGTCAACCAGTTCTTTTTCCACGTTATATATCGGCTGCTTTTCCGAACCCAGGAATGGGTCAGGAGTAGAATTTTCGCCGATCCTGTTGCCCAAGTCCCCATTGTTTGGTAGATTTTGGGGTAAGACGCTTGGGTACTGATTACTGCTAGATGCATAAAATGGCTTTTGAGCACATATGCAAGTTAATAGCACTGCAAAAACAATTGAAGACCGTAGTAAACTCTGAAAAAATATAAAAAAATAACGTATAAGGTCTTACTAATAGCACTGGTTGAGATCAGGAGTATTTAAATCAAGATAACATTCATTTAAATAAACTATTTTATTGACTTCTGCGACGATCTTTGCCCAAAGTTGCGCAATATTTTTTTTTAATTTAAATAATTAATAAATATGTCCTGAACTAAACATAGTTTTATTTCTATCTCAAATGTATTAATTTAATATAGTACTATAAGATTTTTACTATTTGTTTTCAAAACAAATAAATTAAGTACTTACTAACATATGTCTATTCAATTATAAATATTATTTATAATTGAATAAACATATATGTATTAAAATATATTAAGCACATTTTAATATTGCGTATTTTAATCTTTCAAACAGATTTTTATCTGTTGATACTTTAGACCTGCAACATGGTGATAAATACTTATAATACAGACTACGGAAAATACTATCATAATAGTGTAATTATTCCAATATTCGCGTGGCACCTATAATTATGATATATTAATTTATTATAATATACACAAATAATAACCGGTTCGGTGACAACTAACATAACCGCCAATTGTTTTTGCGGATGGCAGACTTTTATCGTACATTGCACGTGCAGATCCTATAACCACTATACCTACCAATACAAGTACGTCCCAATATTCGTACCACATTATCCCAGGCTCATCAAAAGGAAATAAACTAAATTAAATCCAAATTTCCATTGTTTTATTTTAATCCCTTATTTCTTTTTACTTTATTATAATTTCTACTTCATATATTTTATTTAAGATAGTAAAAAATGATCATTGAGAATCCATCATCGTGTTTACAATTTCACAATATTTTGTTATAATGAATTACAACTTAAAAATATCAAATTAACAATCTCAACATTTAAAAAAAAAATTTAATTTTTATTCATACAAAACTAAACTAAAAGTTAAGATACAATGTATATTATGTTATGTTTATATAATTATATAGTGCATAATGTTATTATCCCATGCAACTACAACCGACAGTTTTTGATAAATGCGATACAAATCAGAAGATTTTTTTTTTCTTCTGAGATTCAAAAACAGTCGCAAAGGTAGACGTAGACACGTAAAAAATAAATTAAAAGAACTGCTCGAATATCCATTGTATAATTCGCAAGCAATGTGCTGCAAATGTGTTATTATGAGATTATGTAGTATTAATTTTTTTGGATAATATTTTCATTAAATTAAATTTCCTAACCCAATATCAATCCGTCATATTGCGTTTTAGACTTTTAGCACAATATAATAAAGCATAATATGCGTCTGCCCTTCATTGATCTACAGGCGCACAACTGACATCTGCAACCTTTTAGTATCATTTAATTATAACTAGAGCGTAGATTTATATACACATTAAAAACCAACCAAATATGCACTAAAAAATCTTGAATATGCATAAATATAGATACTAAAATGTTAAAATATGCACAAAAAATAACAAATATGCAAAAAAAAATTATTTTTTGAACAGTAGTGAAATAATGTCAATATTCAACTATGACCGTATTCGATATTTTCTTATCTTGATATACGTATTCTATTTCCCCGATTATTGATCTAAGGTCATATTTGGAAAAACCATTTTTACTTATTAATTTATTCTGATATTAATCGAAACTATAAAAATTTAATATTTTTTTCTTATATTATAATAGACTGCAATAGTATATATTATTTAAAAAATGTTAAAAAAACATCAAAATATGCACTAAAGTCTAAAAGATGAAAATATATGCTATTAAAATTGTAAAATAAGTCCTTAAAATAGAAAAATGTCGAAATATGCATAAATATGCACTAAAAAAGTTTTTTAAATCATTATGTTATAAAACAAATTTTGTGCTCACTTAGCATATTATACGATCAATCAGAATAAATATGCAAATGCATACAAATTCGTGCTTTAATTATAACTATCAAAGATCCATTCTGACTTCACTTCTACTATAAACACTATTTGCTTTTTATTTAACTCATCGTCACAATCCTAAACAAAATGAACATAATTTATTGTCACGAATCATGAGACAATTTTATTTTAACTTCCTAGATAAAATACATGTATAATATAGGTATCTAAAATGTATATTAAACATTATAGAACCATAATTATTAGTAGTTTGTACCAATGGATTTGTATTTAAAAATAAACACTAACCACAGTCCATAACTGTATTTATTATTGTTCTATAATAGTTATTAAGTACCTACTTATTTGATGAAAAATCATAAATAACAATTTTAAAACAACATTTAATTATAATAACCTTTGAATCTCTTAGATAAATTATAATAATCTTTAAACTTATCAAAATATTTCCACCTAAGAGTACATGACTATATTATTTACTTATTATACTTATTATTTATGCTATTCGTTTAAAATAGCATAAATATTTATTTTATGTAACATATATACCTATATAGTTATATAGATTCTAACAGATATTATGCCTCTATAGACTGCCTACCAAAGTTGATTTTAATACTAAAAGTTAATAGATTCGTTTATCAAAAATTAAATGAAAAATATATTTCTTTCTTAATTCATTTAAATCCAATATGATAATATTGAACGTAATAAAGGTATATTTTACAATCTATATGTTAGTATAAAAATAATATTTACCATTTTTCAGTAGATTGACTCGGCAAATCCTCTAAATAAGTAATAAATAATTGAGTATTATAAATTCAAAATTGTGATTTTTAAAAATATTGAGCACTTATTTTACACTTTCTAAGTACAACCGTTTACTACGACGTAACGCTAAGCAGTTAACACTAAACGTTGACCACTGTCAGGTTAAGATTTATAAACCGATGTTTAGCAGAGAGAATTTATACGTTATTATTTTCTAGAATGGTAGGTGAGTAGGTTATAGGTAGGAAAATACGTCTCAAATCCCCTCCCACGTTTACAGAGTTACAAATCCAGTACCTATAAATCTACTATATAACATAACAGTTTATAGTGATCTACAGTCAACACAAATACGTGGTTCATATAATTTATAGGTGTTATTATTATTTTTATGGACATGGTAAACGTCATCGGAAAAACACGAATAATAATTCCTCTCCTAAACAATTGTTTAAGAATAATAAAAAAAATACTTACAAGATAACTATATTTTATTTACTTTGATATAAGTTTATTTATTACGTCATGTTTAAATTGGTGTATTTACTATTTTGCTAATATAAATTAATCATCTGAAAATTAGGCGATTATCCACTATAAGAACATGTCAAAGCCAAATTGATTTTTACAAAATTGCTGTTATTGATACTCAAACATTAGAATGTATTGCTAATTGCTATCAATCATTATTTTCTGGAAAAATATTACCATTCATATCAAATATAATTTCATAATTAAATTATTATAAAAGTATCATTACAATAAATGTATTATTAATAATACTTGTGTAACAGTTTTACGGACTACCAACTGAGATCCAGGATAAAATAACTATTTGGCTGTTATTACTTTAATTGAATAATCTATGTCAATAATATAATATATTCACTTAACTAGTAAATACCTATACAAAAAGTTTGAAGTTTAAAAACTTCAAAATACAAAATACAAAATCCTTTTAGACAATAACAAACAGTTATTAAAATGTTTGTTTTTATTAATTGAATTTCTAACTGCATTTTAAACTTTGAAATTTCCTCACAAAAAACTCTTAACGGGCAACAAAAAAGTTCTTATTATAGATAAAATTTTTAAATAGAATTACATAAATTGAATTTTAATTGAATATTGTAGTTCCCAAAAATATTTTGTTTAATAAAACAAATTTCAGTGTATCTCCTAATTTGAAAATTAAGCTCAATATAGTATCAAGTTTAAATTGTCTAGAGCTTTTCACATTTTAACTTTCTTTTTTTGTAATAGTGTTAAGTTTTAAATAAATACGAATATAGTAGCGAGAAAGGTATGTGAGGAGAAAGCCCATTTACAAGTGTTTAAACAGATTACGATTCTATACATAATTTGTACACAATTTCTAACTTCGGTTATGTTAAGGTTGTTAATAGTTGAATTAAAAACATTTGTTTTACAAATTTATTCAAGTTTAATAAACGTATTCAGAGTATATTATTAAATATATATTATGTATGTAGGTATATAATTATTATTTATTAAAATCTTTATATGAATAATGAATGTATGATATTATGAATACATATTAATATAATTTTAGAAATATAGAACTTCATAGTTTGGTTAATTTTATTATGTATACATCTGCAATAAGTTTATTCAATACCTATAGAAATTTGAACACGTAACGTATAACGAAAACTAATCACTGACTTACATGAATTATGAAATATATGTTGTGTAGCGATATTATTATGTAAATCAAGTGGAACAATAAATAATCTATAAGTATAAAATCCAAATACCTCACTTACTGATTACTGTATCTCGAAAACTACTCAACCAATTAACTCAAAATTTAGAATAGAGATTCCTCTAATTATTTCACAGAGCAATAAGAAAGGATAATGTTTTATAAATTAAATGTATAATAATAATAATACCTAATTGTAATAATAGGCGGTAAATGGACCTAAATGGCCCGTAAAAGCCTTGACGAGAAAAATATTGCAATAATGATTAATGACTAAATATAATAATAATGTACCATAAATAAAATGTAAATATAAAGTTTATAAAAAAAATCTTCATTTATTTTCTTAATTAATTTCCCCTCTCCCGTAGAAAAATGTCAGGAGACAACCGTGCAATGATCATGTATCTTGATAAAGGTTCAGTTACCATAATATTATTTAAAATGTAAATATTTATTCGTGACAAGCACCCATGCCTATCTGTAATACAACAATACATAGAACTATATGCAATATGCATACAATGAATAATTCATAATTATACATCTCAGCAGTTATAGTATTTAGTTGAGCGTTGGTTGTTTTTCAAAAAACATATACAGAACAGATATAATATATGAGTACTGTATGCCAAAACAATATAATATATAATATCACAACAACTCGCTAACACCAGGACACTGGTAAAACCTAAACTTAGCCTACTACTAATCTTATATAATATGGGAATTCCGCACTTTTACCAAATGTCCTAGAATTTTTAATTGAAGCTCTAAATTATCATATTATAATTAATAATGAGTTTCTTTCAAAAAACAGATTGGCCGATTAATAAAGCTTATAATATACTATACAAAAATGACGGTTATAATAATAAACATCCAAATGTTACGTATATTAAAAAACTCAATGCTGGGAAGTATTAACTGATTTTCATTGGATCAACTTGATAAAAGATAGAGTTGAATAATATTATATTGTAGGTTTATCTTATTTTTTATTGATAAAAAATGATAATCTTAGTATAAGGAAAGCTATTAACTTCGATTTTATTTATTGTACCTAACTGTTAAGGTATTTAAATACTTTAGTGTAAAATAGTTTATAGTGAGTTATTTTGTATACATCTTTTCAATTACTTTTGTATAAGCAAATGTGTACGACGTAAGTAAGTTATGAAAAGTTTTAAGCTGAAAACATCTGAACATAAATACACGGATACGTAATATAGAATTTCAAAGGATATTGATACATTTACCTTTCCATGTAATTAAAATATTTTAATAGACATATTTTGTATACAATTGTTAATATAAAAATTGATGATAAACGATTTAAATTAGAACTTATTTATTAATATTATGTTTTAAACTGCGCACACTTATACATTTTTGTAGCTACTAATGCTACTATACACACTTATAGTTATAGTAATTTAATACTTACATACAAATTACAATCTTTAATATAATGTTTACTGATTTGAGTATATATCAAGGTCAATTGCTAAATGTCTGTAGTACGTACATTCTCTTAGATCGGATGCAAAACATAAAACCTGGGTAATTCACTGAAAGCCAAAATTATAGTATTGGTTTTACCAATATGCTCATACTTTTACCTTATAAATTATAATTTATAATGTACCAAATACTTATACATAGCAATTCATTTTTATGAAGTAGGTATCTACCTACTTGCCCAGTAAACCATTAAAATATATCTTGAATATATTTTTACGAATCCTGTTGTGTACCTACCGTTTAATAATATAATAATAATTATCTACTTATTTAAATATCATATAGTCTTAATTAAACACGTATATAGCGCTTAATTTAATATTACTACCTAACTATAAAACAAAATAGAAACCGCGGTCATTTACCCGTATTATAATTTATAATATAGGATGTAAATTTATACTCAGACTTAGGTTTAGGTTATAACTATTTATTGATTTAATCAAACTCGAATATTAAAATCAAACCATTAATCTAATATATTATTTAAATTTATAAATAATGAAATCAAAAATAAACTATAAAGATTCTGAATATAATTTGCGGTTGTTAGATAAATAGATAAATAGCATTTTTCAAAACTATTTTCAAATCTATTGAAAATCGTTAAGTGGTACCTACTAATTTCGTCATTAAACTTTTAACTTTAATAATAATCAATAAATATAGTATGTTATTTAAACATAATAATGTATTATAGAAATATAGACACAATATAACTGTTGTTTAATAGATAAAGCCGATAAGAGTAACGCATTCGATACATTTTAATCAACGGGTTTTATTTATCTTTGACTGGCGTATCGCGAATAAGTGATTTTGATTTTTATTATACCTAAGTACCTACAAACAAAGCACTGCCTACAATTTTAAATCATACTTCATAGGATCATTTCTTTAGTATACTTTGTCAGATCTCTCCTCTCTGTGCAGATCGACATCAGCAACAATGATGAAACTAGTCCGTCCATATCAAATGTGAGATCACTGATTAACTGATTATCGCTCCCCGAAAAACTGGAAAAGTCGCTATGATGTATAGGTAAATATTGGCCTGTTGGCGAGTGAACCTCGTCGTCGAGTGAGTAAATCTAGGTTAGATCCATTGATTTTAAACATCATGTAGATACGGCATTCCTAACTTTGCTAAACATACGATTTTTGGCCAACATACAAAGAGAGAAATGGGTCACTGTATGGATTTGTTAAATTTGAATTAAATTATAAATCATTGTACCTACACGAAAACGATTCTAAGCGAAAACTGCTAGTCTATATTTTTAAGAACAATATGTATTATGTATAATTTTTCTGCTATTGAACAAATTGGTTTCCAAACACAAATCATATATTATATTATACTATGTAATAATTATTATATTCACTACTGTTTACAATTATAATCTACGATTTCGTTTACAATTATTATTATACTAGCTGTTACTAACAGAGATATAATTTAAAACCAATACTACCGTAGAGCACATGTAAATAGCATCATTAGCATCATAAGTTTAATATAAATGTTTTAAAATTGAAATTGTGTGTACTGTGTAGTAAGTAATAATATGTAAATACCTACGTAGAATAACAAAAATATTTAAGTTCATTTCAATAATAGGTACGTATTACATAAATAACAATAAAATGACTAAAAACATATTATTTTTCAAAAATCCAAAAAATTGAAATATTTAAGTAAATAAAACAAAAATAAATCGAAATATTTTGAAATTTATACCATATCCATAAATAATAATATAAAATGAATATTTGATGAAAATATCTCGGTAGGTATATCTAAAATATGATTAGGTTATTCGTTTTTGAGTTATAAAAAAAAAAAAGTTGCTGTTGTAAATTTTTTCTCGTGATTACAGATCATCAAGAAAAGTACTTCTACTAGGAAATTTACTCCGAATACTAATAGATTCAATTTTCTACCAGAAACAAACCATAAATTCAAAGATTGTAACATTTTTTCTACTACACAAAAAGTGTTTAGGTACAAACACACACAGACGTCATTATTAGTGAAAAAAATCATTCTGCTCAGAATTTAAAATAAACTTTATGAACTATTTTGTTATGTCATGACGAAAAATAGCTAGTTAAACTTACATACATTTTACAATGCTGTAAAAATTATCACGGTTTAGTCGTTAGATATGTAGATTAGTTGATAGATATGTCATAAAAATTTATAGTCATGAAAAAAATAGCTATTAAAACTTTATAACTCATTAATGGCTCATCCTCGTGATTTTTCCCACACGTGAAAAAATAAGTAAATACGTAATTTTGTTGATTTTTATGTTAATGCAAATACTACAATACAGTACATACGTTTTTTTTTTAGTATTAATGCAATATTAATAATTATATGGGTAAAGGGTAGGAATATAAAGAATATTAATATATGTTAATGAACTAAAATAATAAGAAATATTTACTCATAATATTTTCGTGGTAAGCCTTGATGAAAGAACATTCGCCACTTCGCCAGTCATCCATTCTTTGATTAGCTCTTATTTTTTTTTTTAACAGTAGTAAATCTAATCTGATAACTAGTAAATGGAGGTGGAGATTCAAAAAGGTCACGACGCTATTTTCCTTTGAGATATATAAGCAGGTTTGGAAGATACTTCAAGATTGTGTATTATAACTGCTTTTTGAACAAATTTTTAATTTAGATCGGGATCTAAAGTGTATAGTTTGCGGAAATATCATACGTCCAAACTAATTTAATTAGTGATTTATAAATAAGCAATTTAGTAAAACACATGATTAGCATTTTTAGTGTACCAAACTTAAGCTATTTACTTATATGGGCTATATGTGTTACCTAGTTACTTATTAAAAAACCATGTTGATATAGATATTTACTTGTTTCAAAAAATTAAATTTACGTGTTAACCTCATATTTTACATTGGGTACCGAACAAGCTACAATATTTTGATAATCTCAATGTCAATTGCTAGCATAATAGATATTTGCAATATTATTCGTAGAGAAACATCAATTCTGTTTCTATCACTTCAATATTTAACTATCTTAATTTTAAAAAATCAATAGTGAAATTAGATTAAATAACAAAAATAAATAAGTGTTTATTTCTGTTTTGTTGGTCTAAAAACAGCTATTTAACAATGTCAGAAATATTATATCAATTTTTGAATAAAAAAAAGTTAAAAATAATATTTAAAAACATCAAAATATTCATAAATATTAAATTTTAACTTTAAATTGTTTTTGTAATTAGATAAAAACTATAAAACAAAAATATTTTACACAAATCTATAGAAAAAAAAGATTTTATGACACATGAGAGGGCCAAAAAGGTTAAAAATATAAAATTTGAATTTTTGTTCTATCCCCAAAAACCCAATTTTAATACAAGAACAATAAACTAAAATATTTAGAAGTGTTAGTGTACTAACTCCAGAACCGTAACAAGGTCCATCATTGCTACTAGCCATTAATGAACAAACAAAAAAAAATTCTGTTGAATGAAGAATGTCAGTATGATGACTGTTAATAATTCAAATTAGCTGCATTACATATAAAATATTAATGAAATAGAATGTATCTATCATTTAAATAATTTAATACACAACATTAGAAATTTTACTCAAATGACGACTGCAAATTAGTTTTTTAGATTTTATAATTTTTATTAGAAAACTAAAATCCAGTACTAAAGTTAGAACATTTTTAAGTGAATTTAGTTAAAAATAAATTTTAATGTACTTTGGTGGTAGAAAAAATATTATTTAGCAACTATGATAGACTTTAATCGATTATGAAACAAACACATAATTTTAAAATAAATATTATACTATGTACAATAATAAGTAATAACCACATTTATTTATTAACAAATAGATACAACTATTTATTGCTCTAATATACATTTTAATTTCAAATATCATTCGAATGTTTTTAAGGTAAATAAATATTTAACATTTTTATTTTTCAACAAAAATATATTTTTTTCCCTTTGACTAAAAGTGAAATTGTAAAATTTAATAATAAAGCACTTTAGAGCATCTAATCCATACACAAATGTAACTAACAAATAATTATTAATATAATAAATGAAGTTAATGTTTTAGTAAATATGCAGTTTGAACTTTAAGAATTATACATAAATATGTTTTTTGAGTTTTAATTTAAATTTACAGCTGGTCCAATTCTGATGTGTTCCAAATTCTGGAATGGACTTACTCCTCTAACTGTGGTCTCAAGTGGTTTTGAATAGATATCACCCGCCAGTTCAGATAATGGAATTTCTGCGTCTGTTTTTGATTTCTTCACAGCATCATCTATTTGAGCTTTAATTTCTTTGTCAATTTGCTAAACAATAATAAATACATATAAATAAATAGATACTAGTATAACTAAACATAATAAACAACACTATTAGAAAATCTGGTGTAGAGTAATAATTCAATCAAAAATTACTTCTCAACAAACAATTAACCTTATAAAATATTAAATCCAAAATAAATTGCTTAAGCTTTGAGATTAAAAATATTTTTCTTATATACATTTATAGGTTACTTTATGTGTTGGACTAAAGAAGTCAAAACCCCCACATTGAGTGTCACTGTTAGAGACATTCTTTATAATGTTAAAAGTGTAAACGGTTATCATTTATTATCAAAAAAGATCATAGATTAAAACTCTAGAGTATTACTCTAACAGCGTTTCCAAATCTTTTTTTCATTCCGTACTCCTAAGCTTAATATTTTGCTAAATTGTACCCCACATAATTTTTAAACTCTTTCACATAATTACTTTTAAACTATTTAAATAAAAAATAACAAAACATTCAAGTTACATTTTATACTCCATATCTATTAAATAAATTGACGGTTAAGTTTTAATTTGTGACAGAAATTTTCATTTTTAATGACATATATTGAATATTTTCAAAACGAATCGTTTTAAATAAATAAGTTTAACATTTTCTGCCATTAGTCAATTTTTTTTCACGTACTCCAAGTTGGGAACTTCTGCTCTATGATATAGAAAATATTTTATACTACCCGTGATTATTTTTATAAAAATTACTAAAACATACTTTTAAAAATAATTTTAAATTTTAGATTTTTAAATCAATATTCTAAATCAGGGGTCGGCAACCCGCGGCCCGCAAAGCAATTTTTGATGGTCAGCACGCACAAAAGTGGTTAATTTTTGTTCAATAAATAAAATCTAATCTAATCGTTTTATAATAGCAATACAATTATAAGTATTATATCATAATATGTAATTTTTTTTTTAATATGGCCCTTGATGAACAATTACAAAAAAAAAAAAATGGCTCGTGTGGTTAAAAAGGTTGCCGACCCCTGTCTAAATACATTTAGTTATTAGTTAGGCTTTATCAATAAATCATTGTATTAAACTATTAAAGCAATATAATTATCAAGACATAAAAAAATCAATATTACAAAAACAAACTTATAAAAGTTTACAAAATTGCTTTATAGAATAATTTATTATAAGTTTGTTACTATTTAATATAGCTTGTTAAGTTTACATTAATATATTTACCTTTAATTCATCATTACTGACTAAATTAGCTCCTATGATTTTTTCTTTGAAAGATGTTATTGGATCTCTTGTTTGTCGCACTTCTTGAATTTCATCACGAGTTCTATAAGATGTTCCTGGGTCAGACATAGAATGTCCAGAGTATCGGTAAGTTGCTGTTTCCAAAACAAGTGGCCCTTTACCACTAGAACAATAATCTATGGCAAAACGAGCAGCTTCTCTGACAGCCAAAACATCCATACCGTCCACCCAAATACCAGGAATATAATCTCCTCGTGTATAATATTCAGTACTAGCAGATGCACGTTCAGAGCTAGTTCCCATGCCATAGCCATTATTTTCACAAACATACACACAAGGTATATCCCACAATTTTGACATATTGTAAGCTTCAAATACTTGTCCTTGATTAGCAGC